GATCTAAATCCTGTTCAGTTTCTTGCACAGACCAATCGTTTTTTGTCTTTACACATCAAAACCGTGCCGAGCCGAGCCGTGCCGTGCCGTACTGAGCCGTGCCGTGCCGAGTCGTACCACGCAGTGGAAAAGCGCCAAAAGTCACCTACATTTTGGATGCCCTGGGGTTAAGCAGATAAACATCAAATTTTCATTTTCGGGTGAACTTTCCCTTTAATAGGCTTGTTTGAGATGCGCCTCGCCTCGCCTGAAATGTAGGCGAGAGTAGGCAGCTGCAGTGAGGGGACGAGTGAAATAAGCGCAGGCAAGACGGACAGTTCTGACCTCTGGAAGTGGAGCAGATACCTACGAGATCAAAGACAGATATCGCGTTATTCACACTCATGTGCTGTGTTGCTAATAAACATGATATAATTTCAGTTCTGTTGCCTTTGTATAAAAATAAATATGCTGAAAAAGACACTCAAAGTGCTTGCTATTTAATTCCATACGAAAGACGTATTTATCATTCATTTTTACTTTAATACAAACATGTATTTTAGATTTTTATAGAATTATGACAACAATCACATATCTCAGAGATCGAGCTGTCATAGTGTTTGGGAACATTCATGCATAATTTAGATATATAATCACATGGAACCAGATAAAAAAATTAATCATTTTAGAAGAGAACTCAACATCACAGTTGTCTGAACCAATGAGCATTAAGCTGTGTCGTCAGTCAGTCGTTTCCCATCATGCTTTTGATCAGCGCAGTCGGTGGAGAGCAACTGCGCTTGACTGCACAGTCCGACACAGCCGCCTCGCCGTCGCGAGAGTTTTTTGGCACACGTCAGCATGACATCAGAGCAAGTCGGACGTAACTCGGACACTTTTCTAACCGGCATGCATCTCGCGGTGATCACCGGTGATCGGTTCTGCGCAGATTTCGCTCATCTCAAACAAGCCTAAAGTTCTGGTCATAGTGATTCTTAAGTTAAACACTTGCAGAAGATGAAGATTATCAGAGAATATCACAAAGCCCTTCCCAGCTAACAATTTTTGGTTCTCAGAATGTTCTGGGAACGTTAGTTTTTGGTTCCCAGAACGTTCCCTGTTGGTTAGCCAGGAAAGTTTTCTTAACGTAAATAGAATGTTCCCTTTAGGTTAGGGGAACGTTCCGGGAACCTTCTGGGAACGTTCTCGGTAAGTTCCGGGAACGTTCCCCTAACCTAAAGGGAACGTTCTATTTACGTTCCGAGAACGTTCCCAGAAAGTTCTCTGAATGTTCCCAGAACGTTCTCCTAACCTCTTTACTCCGATACCGTTGCTGTACGTCAGTAATCATCCAGCACTCCCGCGTCCGGTATAGAGTAAGCGGCATAGAAGACGGACGGATATGTACCTCAATAATCAGTACTAAACCATGTCTTGTTTTAAACTATTGTTTAATCATTAAAGATAATCACAGCACATTTAACCATCATAAGGAGCATTAAATGAGATTGAATTATCCGTTCTTTATTAACCGTTCTTAACTACCATGTACCTTATAATAACCCAGATTTTACGCTTCTTAAGCACCAAATAACAATGACTTCAACAAAATATTGGGTTTTAAAAATTTAAATTGTATTTTTCCAGACATTAAAACTGAATAACATTTATTTGACTTTAAGTAGGATAATATTACATTAATTTGCAAAAATAGTTTGTTTATGATTAAAAAATACACATTTCAGCATTAGAATAATCAGAAACATCTGCAAAGTTTTGATTAGTTTACATGGTTATGACAACTAAAGATAACCTGCAGGGAACGTTCTGGGAACGTTCCCTTTAGGTTATAAAAATAAAATTAAAGATAACCTGCAGGGAACGTTCTGGGAAGGTTCTCTTTATGTTATAAAATTAAACCTAAAAATAACCTGCAGGGAACTTTCCCTTTAGGTTATTAAAAAAATAACCTACAGGGAACGTTCCTAGAACGTTCTTATTTGGTTCCCAAAAAATGACCAAATGGGAACCTAATGGGAACGTTAGGGGAACGTTCTGTGTTTGTTGGGTTATGACTTTAGAAAACTTGAAATGAATCACATAGACCAACGCTATCTCACGGCCAATTCATATGTATTTTACGGGGTGGCTAATTCGTATGGATTTGTATGACCTCACACATACGATTTTGTACTTTGCACTTTGGACGCGCGTTCATGACAGTACCAGAAGGTCTTACGGGTTTCGAACAACACAAGGGTGAGTAATTAATGACAGAATTTTCATTTTTGGGTGAACTAACCCTTTAAGTTTAGGGGCGGGGGTTAGGTGTGGTCCTTCGTACGAATTCCTACGAATTTGCCACCTCGTAAAATATGTACGATTTTTCACAAATCGTATGAATTCGTAGTGAGGTCGTACAAATTCGTACGACTTAGCCACCTTGTCAAATATGTGGCATAGACCACTTTTATGATACTTTTATGGTTGTTTTGCATCCATTTTAAAGTTTAGTTTGTTTAGTTGCATGGAAGAGAGTGACTGGTACATAATTTAAATGTTCACTTTTTGTGGAACAAACTAAGTCATACGGATTTGAAATGACATGAAGGTGAGTAAATAATGACAGAATTTTCCATTTTAGGTGAAGTTTTCCAATAGGTGGCACTTTAGGAGCAATGGAGGATGGAATTATTATTTAATTTTACAGTGATATTATGTTGAATATTTTTCTTATAGGCTTGTGTAACAAGCTTTGATTTGCAGGATATCATTGTGATATTATATATGTTTTCCCTCATTCAATGCAGACTGTACACTGCAGATCCATGCTAAGTACACCACACCCAGCTGAGGTCTGATAGAAACCTGATAGTCATCAGGTACAAGAATAGCCCTACCCGCCACTGTAGCACTCGCTTTTGTGACCTGTAACAGAGAACGGCAGACCTTCAGATGGTACCATGTTGGTGCTTCAGCCCAATGTGTCCTTGTGTTCAAAGTCATACAAATGCACTAGCTCATGTTTTGGCTGCTGCATTCTTATTTCTAACGACACTGTATGTACTTGACCAGAGAATTTTTTTTAATTGGCTCTAATGGATAAAACACCTGAAAATCTTTGGGATGCAATTAGGCATTAAACTCATTATCTTAAACATATTTCTCTACATCTAACTTTTCTCTGGCCTTCAATTTCTTTTTAGTTGGTGTCAGTCAGTCTCTCTCTCTGTCTCTCTCTGTCTTTCTCTCTGCCTCTCATGCATTCTCTCCCTAGTCAGAGTCAGAGGAGTAAACATCCCTGGGGAACAGCGAGCTCTTTCTTTGGGTGGAGGACTGAATCATTGCAGTGAGGGTCCCATGATCCTCCATGTGCCTTGAGACACACACTGCATTCCTCCTTCCTACTCAGTCGCACACACGTACACATACTCAAACACAAACACATATTTCATACTTTAAATTAATATGAATATACAGACCCTCCTACTACAACACATATCTAGATATGTTTGTGCCAGTAAACATATGGCAAATAATGTTAGACCTAATGTCACAGGTATTTAGTAAACTGACAAATCTTTTGCCAATCTGAAGAACTGATTAAACATGCACTCTTTAGTGACAGACAATTTTATTTTCAAATAAAACAAAAACTCAGCTACATCAGCCACTGATATCATCAGTCATGTGACATGATGATTAATAATTAAAACATGAATGGCACTACTTTGAAGTTCCAACCATGTTCCTTTGAATTCAGTATGGACTAAATAAAAACAGTTATATATAATTCAAAACTTATGGGGAAAACTGACTGCCATATAAAAGATTTAAAACTGCCTGAATGATCTTGTCAGATACAGCCATTTGAAAGTTTTGGAAATTCTATCTGAAGTTTTATAATTATAAAGTACAGTATATAACAAATAATAGATTGGGGAACAGGAAAATTGTCACAAAGACTGTAAATCAGTACTATGAAGTTGAGTTGCAAAACCTAGTTCAATATAATTTTAAATTAGTATAATATTTGTTAATTGTTAATCTCCAATATTCAATAAACCAATATTGCAATGTCAACATATTTTTGCAATAGCTTTTTGTAAAAATTACAAAAAAATTAAGGTTTTATAATGAAGGCTTTATGGTTAGTGTGCAAGACATTGTTTTTTCCTTATATGTCAGGTCGAGGCTCTTTAACGGCAAGTTTCGACTGTGACAACTTACCCCATACAGACGAACCTGTACTGCTGCATATTGTCACAAAAGGTTAATACGTGTAAACACACTGTATATTATTTTCTGGGAAAACAATGGTAATGTTAGACACTTTTATAATTAAAACACTTTTTTAAAAATAATTAAAACTACATTTTTAGAAAACTTTTTAGTCAGTTTAAACACTATATTTTTTAATTATTATTAAATAATTAAATAAGATTCTATCTTTCCTATGGCTGTTCCAGAGGTCAAATAAGTAAATAATATTTGTACAGATACTGATTTTAATAAAACTACAGCTTATAAATGTTCATTAGAGTAAAAAGTGTCAACTAGCCAGTGCCCCCTGTATAAAAAGTTACTGTCTACTTCTTGCTGCGACTATAGTTCTATGACATGCAATTTTCTGCCTCATCATGCGAGAAAAGTAGCAGCAAAGATTGTGTTATTGTGTGTGCTAGTGCGTGTCGCGCGCGCGCCATAAACAGGTGCACGCGTCAAACTTTCCCCGCCCCCACCCTAACTGTAAAAAAAAATAAAACATATCACGCCCGATTCAGGTTGAATGTTTACCATTGCGCTGTCCAGAGACTCACGCTTCTTTCAAACTGTCAATCAAAACAGATTTTCCTCTCCCTGCACATGGACAGGTTGATCAGTGACCGTTTCAGACAGGCAGCAGCGCCACAATGAGCGCGTGCTGTGAGGGGCGGGAGTTGGCCAGAGACCGGGGTCTGAGCGCCAGAGAGAGAGGTATAGGAGCCAGAAGGTAATGTCGTAAAGCCGAGTGTCGTAAACCAGGTGCAGGGAGGGGAGGTGGAGTAGAAGGGAGGGAGGGGAGGTGTAGGGGCGAGAGGAGGTGACTCTCCAGCAGCATTTAGACACAGCGAAAGGATCATGGCGGATGGCCCCAGGTGTAAGCGCAGAAAGCAGGCGAACCCGAGGAGGACAAACGGTGAGTAAAAACCCTTCGCTTTGCTTGGCGACGGCTGCTTTCATTCCACTCTGGATTCCGGGCCGCTGGCAGAACTTCTCGAGCCCCACAAAGTGCTGGAAAGTAGCGCTGTGTTATAGCCCCTATCTAGTGTACCGTTATACCTGCCGCACTCGCGACTCTCTCACCGCCTAGCGGTGCACAGAGCGAGCGCGGACCGTTATACGCAGCCAGTCCCATACAAGTGACTCTCGCGTTTGTTTCCCCTTTTATTTCTCTTCGCCTTGAGTTCACTTTATAAACCCTTTGAATTTGAAAAAAAAAAAAATCCATTCTTTTACTCCTGCTGGTTGTCACTGTTGGATTTTCCCCTTTAGATTCGAACGAATTGAAACTTTATTTTCTCGCTCAAAATGTACCTGTTTGGTCCGATGCGGGTGATTTGGTTTCACATGAATCAGTTTGAGCGATTGAAGTGGTGGAAATGCTTTCATAAATACATGTTTGGGAATAGAGCGGTTGCTTTAGAGGATTTTGATTTCTTTTCGTTAACAACAAACTTTGATATATCTGCAGCTGTTCCGCTGTCTGCGTGGTAGCAGGTAGCTAGCGAGCTAGCAGAATCCTAAGAATAACCTTTAATAGTAGTATGTATGTAAATAATTTAGAGTATTTTTTTATGAAATACATGGCTTTATATCGCCGATGTGACAGTTTGGCTTGTTTTACTATCTATGGTACAGCTACAAGTCCCAATTTTGTCATATAGCTCATAAGAAACTGCCTGATAACAGCAGCACGCTTGCTCTCTGTGTTGCTGCTGCATTGGAAAACAGGGGCATGTGTGCAGTTCGCGGTTATGTTTGACAGGAAAGTTTCTTCTTGAACTTCGATTGAAGTTTACAAAGCAAAAAATATGGGTGTGTTTATGTTAACAGTCCTGCCAGTCCAGGCGTCCCTGCGGGATCGGGGCTCAGGGCTGTGGAGCACGATGCCAGTTACAGCAACCTGTTTGTGGAGCCAGCCTGCCACATTTCTAGTTGGGTGGTAACGCTGAAGAGAAAAGGAAAGGAATCTGAAGGGCTGTCTGCTGCTAGAACAACTGCTGCAGCCTATATAAGGAATGCGTATACATCCCGAGAAGCGCAGAGAATCCTGATAAATCGCGCTGCTGCAGCTGGACTTACTGCACTGACAGTTTATTTGTTTTGGGGACTTTATGCATCCGCTTTGTAATGCTCGTCCGTAGCTGTGTAGGTTTCGGGTGTATGTGTGGTAAATAACTTAAAATCGTACTTGCTCTTTTGAATTCTTACGATGTATCTGGTAAGCCGTGTCCAGAGTTATAGATGTGAGCCTGGGTAATATTACGAAGGAAATCGATAGTGAAAAATGCGAGGCGTGCTTTACTTCTCGCTTGCGCGCGTGAGATAGGGAATATAAACTTGAAAAAACATTTGTATTCATCCAAACTCTGTGTTTTTAGATCAAAAGTGCACCGTTCTTCATTTCGTCTGTTCATCTGTTGTATTAAGTGTCTTTTTTTGTGAAGAGATGAGCGAAGAAAGACACTTTTCCTCAGGCTGACGCCATGCGCGCGCAGTGTAGCGGTTCTCTCAGCACGCGCGTGTGTGAGCGACCTGTAACGTTAAATATGTGCCTGCATGATCGGAGGGGAGGATAAAAATGTCACTTAGATTTTCATAAATGCCATTTGACCATCTCGCTTTTGTTTTTTGCTACCTGAACTTGCTGACAAGAAAGGATTCCTTCTTTTTCTCTTTCTGAGATACATTGTCTCATTTTGAAAGCAGACGGGAGGCGTTTCTCGTGCGTTGCAGCAAATGTCAACTTGTGCAGGTATAAAAAAAAGATGTATGTGTAGTGTTTTTTTCGCATGCTTTCTCACTCTCAGCTGCTGTTGTCGTTTGTTTTTAACTGCAGAAGGGATGGGTGCCTGTTATCATTCGGCTTTCTATAGCGCTAAAAGCATCGCTACGGTGCAAAGAGCATCCTCGGTACTTATAGGTGCTGGGGTGCATCGCTCATGGTCTTTTTTTTCCATGCGGTAAAAGCATAGGCGTGTTGTGAAATTGTTTCGAAACCTAGAATGATTTTACACCATGAGGTTTGAGGGTCATTTTGCAGCGCTTTTCTGCGGTGTTAGGTTGATATAAGTGCTTTGTCATCATAGGGCGTTTGGCACTGCTCACCGCACTGCAGGTATCTGAACGCGGAGACGCACCTGAGCCGTGCAACAGCACCTGATTGTACTTGTTTTATCATATTAACACCTCCAGATATGGCTTTTGATGACGTTACGTCATTTAATTTTAAACTCAGTTATTATGTGTTTAATAACGCTTGTTTTATCATTTAATCTTAATCATATAAACCATGTTTGCGCACATTAATTTAAGTTTGTTCTTCTATGAACTCACGCAGGCGTTTTATGCGTCCTGACCGTTAATTATTTGAAGTCGAGGGCTGACCTCGGAGCGCACCCGCCGAGTATCAGCGCTCCCTGGCTGTGCGCGTCCCTGCGTCATTAACATACGCCCCTCCCCCTCCGCACCCCGTGAGGAGTGTTGATCAGACCGTGTGTAATTGGAATGTGGCCGCCTGAGTGCTTCACCGTTTGGTGTAAAGGCCAACAGTAAATGTTCACTGGAGGCAAACGGTCTTCTAGACGGATTCACCTTGTGTTTACCAGACGTACCTTCACTTTATTTACCATAATCAAGATGAATGGAATGTTTTTAATTTCAACTCACTTAAACTATCTTGTAAAGTTATGTGATATGAACAGTACTAAACTTTCTGTTTACTCTTCAGCTCTAATTATAATTCACACAACCTTCACCGACTTACAATCGCACATAATTAAAATCTCCCCCTCAGGTCTTCTATGAAGTTGCTTGATTGTGGCTCTTATCAGAAGGCCTAATTGTTGGCAACATTGCTGTCCTGATGAAACCCACATGAAGACATGTTCCAGCAATGAAACTGTTGGTTACACATAAATATATAAACTTTAAAATGCAAAAGCAAACAAAATAGCTGTGTTTAGAAGCATTCATAATTACCAAACAATCAGTTTTTAAACTTTCTTTTTCTCTGTCATGTTGGAAGGTTAAAAATGCAAAAAGTCTGCATTCATAAGAAAATATCAAGTCGACAGTTTGTGTTTAGAAAGATTATAATAACTCAAGTAAACATTAATTGGTTGAGAACTGTAATTTTTTATTTTTTTTATTTTTATGCTCTTAACTGGTCATATGACTTGCATTTACAGATTAGTGTGAGCTGATCCAGTAAATATGGCAATACCAATACCTATACCATTCTACCAATCTTTTTTTTTTTTTGTCATCAATAAAATGTTCTTGACTCTCACTTATAAGTCAAACTGCAGTAAGGTACATTCGTTTGGAGCATTTGTAAAGGTTACAGTGGTTTCAACAACAAGGGCTGAGGGGGGAGGTGAAGTTTTTTCCCTGGTGCTGAAGCTTTTACCAGACACTTTCAGCATGTGACAGCAGCACTTCACCATCAGGTGAAAAATCTGTGACGTGCCTGTTGCTTTGACTAAAGGTAGGGTGTTAACCCCGAGATGAGCTGTTGGGCAGGTTAAGAATGTTTTACAAGCTAGAGAATTCATTAGTTCTCTCTGACTTTTTACCCTATAGACTTGACTGAATGGCCTGCCCTGAAAACAAAATATGCTAAATTCTATAGAGATACAGAAAAATTTAGATTTTCACTCATAATTGTGTAAATCTGTAGTAAAATCAGCAAACTTGAGGCCCAGGGAACAACCCACAGATTTGGACTCTCCGTCTTGGATTGGAATGCTAAACAGTCAACAGTTTTTCAGAGTATTTAAAGCTGTCTCAGGTGAAGTTATCTGCAGAATGCGAGGAAGGTGAACTGTGTCTAAACATCTTGAAAGCTGTGTGGCTGTGCAGTACAGCCTTAATCAGTCTTATTTAAAAACACACCTTGCTTATATCACCAACAGCTCCAAAGGCCGACACGAGAGCATCTCAAGTATGTCACTTCTGAACATACATATTCCCAAAACGCTACAATTCTTGGAACACTTCTATTGATAGAGCTAAGAAGATGATTGAACTGTGTGCCAGTGTGTCTTTTTTTCACCTTTTCACGTGGGACTTGTTCTAACGATGTTCCCAGCCACTTGGGGTTCTCGTGGCACATAACATGAAGGCGATCGGGGCTCAAGCTGTAAACATGAAGGTGCTAATAGTCCGCAAGACGACAGGTGTTGTTCACAGGCCAGCTCTCCTTCTGTCCCTTCCTCCTCTGGCTCTCTCCGAGAGTACTGGAGGGCAATTTGAAACCTCCCAATTTGGGAATAGAGGAATGTGGCTGACCGGTATTAGCATGGCTAAGAAAATAAACATGGCAGCGGTTGTTGGGTGTACTGTGCTTTGTAGTGGCCTTCTAAAATGGAGGTTACGTTTCAAAAGAACTTTAGCAAGGCTGTATTTTTATTCCGAGACATTTTAGGGTAAGGATTTACACCTCTGAAATGAGCAGAACCCGCAATGTTTTACCCAACTGCGTTTATACAAATACACCCAATGAATGATAAGAAATATTTAGCTTGTTTACTGTCATTACCTTTGGAGAACTATGGCCAACGTCAGGCTACTGCCAGCTCTGCGATAAAATGGGTGTAGCGGAATTTATTTGGCTGATAAAACTTTAATTACTTAATTAAATTAATTTCCACACCCCATACCAGACTTTCTAGGGTTTAAAGCAATAAACACACATGCTTGTTTTTCTCTTACTCATGCACATTATAAGTTGACGCTTTATAGTTAGGAAATTGTGCAGTATTTTTTGAATGCATTTGTTTTTCTGTAGGTAGCCTATATGTGAGTTATAAGGAGCGCTTTGCTGCGGGATATGCTATAGGGCATTTTAAAAGCCATCTGCTAACATTTAGGGTCACTGGTGCGCAAGGTTCAGCCGAGGAGGATATTTTCATT